ACAATGTTTATTTATAAGATATAATCTTTTTCTCCAAATAATTCATCTGTCTTTGATGACAGTTCATGTCATTTGACATTTCGAGACTTCAGAAAAAAAACGTCTCTTCCTTCTTTTTTTACGTATTACGATTTATTATGACCCTGTATATGCCTGGAATATGAAACGTGTCTTCCAATCTTTGCTGGAATCGGCATATTCACAATGTTCATTTATAAGATATAATCTTTTTCTCCAAATAATTCATCTGTCTTTGATGACAGTTCATGTCATTTGACATTTCGAGACTTCAGACAGAAAACGTCTCTTCCTTCTTTTTTTTTGACCAGATACGGGAAGAACATCGTAATTTTGCGGATTTGAAAGAATGTTTCAAAGAATTCCTGAATCGACAATTGATTTATCTTAAGGGAGATAATCACTTATCTACTGTCGTAGGATTTATGTTGGAATTACTCGAAACTTTCTAATTGAAGTTTACCTTGTTGAAGAACTCGGACATCTCTATCCCAGGCATAAACAAACATTTTGTGTTTTATTGATACGACCTACTTGCTTGCAAGAAATTATGTTCAACATGTATGAATTTTAGACCTTCATTTTCATTTGCCTGTTCGTTACTAATTGATGACTCCCATAAAATCTCCCCAACTTTGAGAACAGCTAGACATTGTCAAAAAGTAATTTCCGGCATTGTGTATTCTAGTGTGAGAAAAGTGGGTGGTGCATTTCCTAGTAAATCGACTATGGAGTGGGAGGCAAATTGTCAGCTAGTTTGAGGCGACAGTTTGCTTGCAATTTTTGTTGAAGCAAGGTTTGTCATCAGAAGTTCGTTTCATTGAGGAAAGAATATATACATCATTCGATTATAGAATAACTTTCGTGACTTCAGAAACACAAATTGATGGATCATTAGAGCTGAAAAAAACATCTAGCCAGGGGAAAAATGTTTATTAAGCTTTAGGATAAAATTACAAAATATTGTGAAAGTGTGTTTTGTGTGGGGCCCTGCTATAGGCCTGTGCCTCTTCAGGGTTAGTAGATTGTGTGTGTGTGTGTGTTGTCTTGTGTAATGATGTCTACTGTATTGTTGTTTTGTGTTTTCATGTGTTTCTCTTGTTTTTCCGTTGCTCCGTTAGAGTGGTTTGGGTCACTTGCAGTGGTCATTGGAATGTGGGTACAGGTTGTAAGGCCGGGGGTAAATGGCTTCCGATTTCAGCTCCTTCCAGGACGTAGCTGTTCGCTATCTGATTCCCAGTGGGTATTCCTGTAGGTTATCCTCGATCTGCTCCAGCGGATCTTCCATTGCTCCCAGGAGTCTTGCTGGGAGCAATGGAGTCTAACGGGGAGTCTAACGTGTTGTCAGCGAGTTGATGGCATCGGCGTTATTACTGTTCATCGTTCTTGTCGCATATCGTCCTTGAAGCCCCTGAAATCGTAGGTTGATTGGTGTAGTGTTTACTAGGTTATATAAGTTTTGAGATGGGTATCGGTAAGGGAGGTTGTGAATGTTTGCTTGGGATTCTTCTCTCGGTAGTTAGTCAGTGCTGATGAAAACATTTGTTAGAAGGGATTGACTTGACTTGTATATAACGAACTTGAGCATTCACGGTCGTGATATTCGCCATGCTTCTGCTCTGAGGGTCCCTTCACATAAGAGTGATCATTTAAAAAAATCTCCATTATATAATGCCATAAATTTTTATAACAGACTGCCACTTTCTATAAAGAGGTTGAATTCTTCAACTTTGTTCAGTAAGAAAGTTAAAAACTTATTACTGGACAAATGTTACTACAGTCATAAGGAATATTTAGAGGATTCTTTCACAGAAGAATAATAAGATATATAATCGTTCTAAATTTTCACTTGCTGTTTTGCTTTAGTTTCAGTGTTCTGACTGGCGATTTTATGTGTGTAAATGTTTGTAAATATATGTATATATGTAAATATATACATATGTATATTTATTTGACTACGACAAGCAAAATTGCCACATTTTTTTGTTCATTTTTTATTAGCATTTTATATATCTTTATGTACCTATACCTTTGTATATGCAAATATTTATTTTTATTTAAGCTTTGATTCCATAATTTAATTCATAAGTGACGTACTGTTTTTTGTAAATAATCATTGACCTACCATATATACGCTATGTATCACAAATGGTGAATAAATATTATTATTATTATTATCACGGCGGGATAATCTCGGGGGAAGCGTACAGTATAAGTATGTAGGAGAGTATTACTGTCGCACCTCCCGATCTTGCCTCTCAGTGCTTTTAGCAGGTTTGCTCTTTTCCGGACTCTGTCCAGAGTTTTTCTCAGTCGACCTCACAGTTGAGGGTCCTCGTGAAAGTGACGTCCAAGTAGGACACCGAATCTTGGAATTTGAGGTTTTCTCCTAAGAGTCTGAGGTTCAAGTTATCAGGATTTAGTTTAGGGCGGGTAGTGGTGTGAGGATGTCTGAATAGAATGGTTTGGGTTTTGGTGGGATTAATTTTGAAGCACCACTGCTCGAAGTGGTCGATCATGTTTTGTGTTCAATTTGCAAGATGCGGGTGTTGAGAGCGGAAGAGTAGAGGATAGCATCATCGGTATACTGGAGGATTTTCTGGGTCGTGGGGACGTCGTGAGCGTAAATTGGAAATAAGAAGGGGGCGAGGACTGAGCCCTGAGGAACACCGGATTTGGGAGAAAAGGAGGAGGATAAGGCGTCGCCGACTTTAACGCCGATTCGGAAATGATATTGAAGATCCTCCCCCTCAGCAGATCTGTAATGACAAATTTGCGCGGCTTAGATTGTTCTCCAACATTCAAAAGTAATTCACTTACAGCGGTTGGCGAATCTCCACTTCTTGGACACCTAGATGACTCACCATAGCGACATAAAGACGGATGATCGTAAGCCTCATGTCTCAAAGGTAATATTGTTCCTTTTTATCGTTCATTTGGGTCTGAACGAGACGCAATGGTATCACAGGAGTAACATTATCAAAACTATCAGCGCTACTGTATAACCCACTTCGTCTAGCTATAAAGTACCTACTTTTACTTAATTTCGATTATATTAGTTTAGTGTATCGTACTGAAATTTCAAAACCTTTTCTTAGCTACCTTTGAACAATTGTAGAGGGACATACCCACTTCTGTCTTCACTGTTGAAAAGCTGGTAGGGCATTTGAGGAAGTAATAATCATTTAAAATTGTTATGAAACATTCACATCATATATCATGTTACATCATATTCATGTCTATATATAAATTTGAAAGCAATAACATTTTGCGAATTCTAATATGGCTTCTAGTCAGACCTGGTTAAAATGTATACACCTTGAGAAATATACCTCATCAAGTATCTACTTATGTGAATAATTTAATATCTTCATTTATTTGGAACATAACCGTTAATTACATCTTTGAGAACCCTGTTATTTAAAAAAAGTAGTGATTCAGAACATAAGTTTATAGGACAATAAATCGCCCCCTGAAATTAAAATCATTATTCAAGATACACCCTGCAAAATATGTACATATGAACAGGGTAAATGACCGTTAAAATCAAGTTTTACTGTAATTCTCATTTTAATTAACCATACACATCCATTACACATCCTATATACACATTATTCAAGTTATGTCCAATTTGTTTCACAGTATCTGTTTACACTTCTTGGAATGATTCTTTAATTGGCGTGTCTCACGAAATCCCCTACCGCACACAGAGCAACAATGTGGCTTCTCACCAGTGTGGATGAGCATATGTCGATTTAAAGAGCTCTTCAACCCAAATGCTTTGTCGCATATTAGACACCTATACTCCCTCTCCATTGTATGTTTCAGTTTGACGTGATCCAACATGTGATGATGCTGAAAGAATGTTTGATCACAAATTGAGCATTGAAACTTTCTTTCTCCCCTATGGTTTCGAATATGCAAGCCCAAAGCACTGCTCTGGGTGAACTTCTTTCCACATATTTGACATGTATATGGCCTGTCACCGTTGTGAATGCGCATGTGAATTTTCAGAAGTTGATATTTGGTGAACTCTTTACCACACTCTGAACACAAAAAGTCTTTTATCGCTTGATGATTCTTCATGTGTCGATTGAAATAGGATAGCATCTTGAAAGACTTTCCGCACACCTCACAATCGTAAGGTGTGTTTTCTGAATGAATTTTCAGATGGAACTCCAAGCTTTCTTTCACTCGGTAAGTTTTTCCGCAGATCTCACAAGTATATACTTCTGCCACGTGGGTATTAAGATGTTTTAAAAGAGCCTTTTCCGAAAGATACCTTCTACGACATTTATCGCAGTCGAATACTTTTTCTCCTGTGTGTTTCCTCATATGCATTTTATAATTGAACGACTGTCTAAAGCTTTTATCACATATCTTGCAGTAATTTTTCTTTTTAACTTCAAATTCATATGAATCCTTTATAGGTATATTTTTAAGAAAGTCTTTGTCCGAAAAACTTTCTTCCTGAATTTCATACTCCATTAGGACTTCTTTTGAGATGTCAGTGTCCGAGTCTGTTCCACGATCTTCTTGGTGGTATTGAGCGTGTACTTTCATATGTTCCTCTGGATCCATATTGAAATCTACAAATCAAAAACATGTTTTCATCCTTCAAACCACTAGTATTAAATATATTAATTTCAATTCATTCTATAAATAAAGAAGAAGCAACAGAAAATGCCCTTTTGTGAAAGGTATCAAAATATGATTCGTAATTGTGATTGGTATTTTCAGGAAAAATAGTTCTGAGAGACATATGAGAGAGGTGCATATGATATGGTCCAGTACAGGTGAAAACACCTCACCATTACCGCTCATGTGAACCTACGATTTTGTAGGTACGTGTGGCAGATACCCAACTACTACTGGGCAGAAAGCTGAAGTAAAACCATCAGGCACCTGTGCAACGTCTTCCGTTTGTAAGATTCTTCCCAAGTAACTTTCTACATATAAAAATCTGAAATTAATTTAATTTGGTCGGAACGACCGCCGATAAACCGGTTTCGGAGTAGTAGTTCCTCATCAGTATCAGGAATATTATTTCAGGTGGAGTGAACCGTCTGAGAATCTCGAACAAACAAAATTAGTTCTAACTAGTCATACGCTCTACCTGCAGTTGATTCAGTAGGATGTACCACTGCACCACCTGAAGACAAAATCCGGAAACAACTCCACAAACACATACTCCAGAGTGGGAGTCAGAATGATGAATAAGTAACTTCCGGAAAGATACATATGGCATACTCGATTTCATTTTCAGGTAGGAATAAAAAGCCAAAAAGCCAATATTTCAAAAAGTGTTTTCAATGATCTCGAAAAATGTTACCAAATTTCTTCTTAATGGAAATTATAAGAAATTATTGTTCATAGTCATAAAAGTCAATAAATTTGGTGTAAATCGAAACTTTTATTACGTCCACTAGTAAATTTTTCATAGTTAATTACCATTCATTATAATCAGATATAACCTCAATCGTTTATTAAATTATATTCATTTATTATATTTGATTAAATTTATTTCATTACCATCTATATTTGATTCGTATTTCACTCCGAAATAAATCTGAAATTCATAATTATTTTAAATTTCTTTTATTACTAACTACCTGCTAACCTATTAATTTACTTTTTTTCCAGTTACTTTTAAATTACGGCATGCAAGCCAACGTTTTAATGTTACAATATTGTTATCCTTTACAGTTGCAAGTTTTACTTTTGCTCCAGGGACATTTTCTTCTGTTAAAAACATTCTTTTTTAATTGTACTTTACCATATGTTTATATGAGGATGTAGCAGTGTTTGTCCCTACTGAACTACTAGCGCTGCTAGTGAGTGATTTTTCATACTTCAAGAAAAAGGTTTATTAGATATATCCATGCATAGCAACATAGCCTGTTTAGAAATGTTACTAACTGGTGTGAATATAAGATAGATGATGTGGTTTTTGTTGTATCACAATTGAATGATTCCAGAATTGAGACAGTGGGAGGCGAGAGACCAATAAATACACATAAGTGAAAATATCACTAAAAATGTTGATTATATGATTCGAATATAGAGAAATGAAGAAATTGATAAGACATTTATTAATATATTGTTCTCAAAAAATCAATATACAAATGTAAACACGAAAAATTGTTGAAAAAATACTTCGACAAAATCAAGGGCAAATTTGAAAATTGATAAATCTTAAAATAAACGGATGTCAAATACATGTTACATTCACTATTTTTAACATATATAATTTCAGCATGGTTTAGTGGAGGAATTTATAGGTTTGTTCTGGTTCTTCAATCCAGGAACATTCTGAAACATTTGAGGAGAGTAGGGAATTACTTGTTGAATGAGAACTGAATATGACCGATTGTTTCGCCAACTACAGAACAGAGTGATTTAATAAAAGGAATATTTAGACCACTAAAGTAAGGTTATGAGTGAAATTTAAACCACTAGAACAAAACATGTATTTTTCCATGCATTTATTCTGTATAGTCGAGCATATTTTTTATGTTTTCAGAAAGCTAATTATGATTCTCATGAACTGCCCAAAAATAGAATCAATGTTGATCAATAAGGTTGTATAATATTGTCATAATTGGAGAGAATAAAGTTAAGTATAACATTCTGTGGTGAGAAATTTGAAAACGTATACTTAATATACGAAAATATTCAAGAATTCCAATGTATGCATAAACCTTAAATGAGATGTACATTAATAACGAGGACTAAAATATTCAAAGGAATTTTCGAAAAATATATCGTGCAATAGACGAATAAATAATAAAGGTGTTGAATTTGTCATAATCCAAGATTGAACTACCATAAGAACTCAATATTGAAAAATTTTAAGATGAATCATCCGCACTAATATTATCCTAACCCCACTAATATAGTGTATTGCCTCTAAACGCTTGACTGGGTAGACATAATTTATGTGATTAAAAGAGCATGCATAATACGAACAGTTCATATTAATCCACAATAGAATTAGTCCACACTGGAAAGAACGTTTACAAAAGGTTTAGGAAATTTACAAACAATCATAAATATAAAACCATAACAATAAACTTGCGGATTAGATTCAGTCTGAGATAATCCAGAACAGTTCAAACAACTGTGCTTACGCCTGATCATCCAGGACAGTAAAATCAAAAACAAAAATAATCCTTATATGTTAAAAAAAAAAGAAAATACAACTAGTAAAAATATTTTTCTGAAATATTTTCAGTGATATTCGTCTGCTATAAAGGATTCCCAATGAACTTCAAAAGGAGTTGGCATTTCTGCTATTTCATAAAATTCACCATAAAGTATATATCACAGTTCAATGAAATGAATTCAAACACTTTTGTCAAATTTTCACTAGTGGAAATTAGACAAAGGTGTTTTCATTCATTTCATTAAATTTATCATAAATTTCCACAAACTAAACAAGTCATCAATTACACAAACATATCTCAAACTTTTTTGCAACGTTCAGACATTATAGTTTTGTCCTCCAGCTTCCACTAAAGTTTTTGTGTGGTTTTTCTTGTGTTTTTTCAAATTTCCAGAATTGGGAAAACCTTTGCCGCAATCTGAACACCGGTATGGCGTTTCCCCCGTATGAAGCCTTGTATGAGACTTCAAGTTCGAAAACTGAGCAAAATTTTTGCCACAGTATGAACACTTATACGGCTTCACTCCTTCATGAACCATAACATGTCGCTTCAAATGATTATTCTGCTTGAAAGTTTTATCACACTGATTACACTTATAAAGTCTTTCTCCCGTATGAATAACGAGGTGTGTGTTGTAGGTGCTAGATTGTCGAAACCTTTTCCCACACAATTTACATTCAAAAGGTTTTTCATCGGTGTGAGTTTTAGCGTGAATATCCAGGTAAACTTTCTTAAGAAATTCTTTGCCGCAAATATTACACAAGAAATCTTTCTTGTCGCTGTGGGTTATCATGTGGGTCTGCAGCACGTACTTTGATACAAATATCTTTTCGCAAACTTGACACTTGACGTCCGAGAGGTCCCGAGTCTCGCCGTTTTTTATGTGGTGTTCTTCCATGTGCTGACGATACTCCATTTTGCGGTTGAACGTTGTCTGACACTCTTTACAGCTATAGCAAATTCTGCTTGCTGATTTTACGGTGTGCGTTTTGAGATGGCGCACTTTCCGTTCACGTCGAGCAAATTCTAGAAAGAACAATTGTTTAGTAAAGCTTGTTGAGAAGAATTCCTGAGGTTGCAATGTACAGTTCTTCGATTGAAATGTGCATGCACATTAAGATTCAAATGCAATGTATCAATTCAAAACATATGTTATGAAAGATGAAAATATCGTACACCACATAATTAAAAATAAAAGAAATCTCATAGATTTGTTCAACGAAATTATAAGTAAATGTGCAGAGGAGAAATGTTTACGTGGAATTTCAGAATTTGGATTTTATTTTTGTTATTCCTAAGTATAATAAATCAGCTTAATAAAGACTCCTATAGTGATTGAAAGTAGATCATTGACGTAATTGAGAGTTTATTTTGACTGAGATAGATGAAATAATTATGTTTGGTTTGATATTTATTAATACCCATGTCTGGAAAAATGTATTTGATCTTATTAATGTAATACGCTACTTCCATCATCTACAAGCAGGCCTACTCTGAGTACTGTTTCTATACCAGTAATAACTTCTGAGCGAGTTTCCTCATAATAGGACACTATGGAATAGTATGTACTGGATATCGACCAAGAAGAACTTATAATTTGATTTATTTCTTTATTTCAATTGGGAGAAGGTTCTTGACCAACATATGTTTCGAAGAAAAGGTCAGACGCTGGTTTTTCATTATTCCCATATGTATCATATCCTTTGCCGCATATTACTACCAGAGAAACATGTTTCAAACCATTTTGCGACTATTCTTTATATTTCACACAACCTATCCTCATTCATGAAGCACTTACGAGAGAAAAATAGCTTGTTTTTTTTTCGTTTCACTGGACATATCGCCACTATTTCTTCAGAGCATCGTAGAACAGTTTACACTGATAATATACAATTTTCTTGACAGCAGTATCGACGAAAATAAGAAAAATAACTCAAAACGTATTATTCTTCATCATGACAATGCCAGATTCCACAGAGCATCAAACGATTGATTATTCAAAGGAAAAAAATATTAAATTGATGACAGATTGCCCTTAAATTACTGATTTATTTAACAATTTTTTTTTGTTTCCTTATGTCAAACAAAAAATGCGCGAACAAAGATTTTCATCACCTTAAGCAACTGTTGAAGCCTGCCACAACCATGTCTCTGAGGCACCAACTTCAGAGTGGAAAAACTGTTTTGAGAATTGGTTTGAACGCATTCAAAATGGTATCAATCTCAATAACAAATAACACAGATCTGCGATGAAAAAATTGTAGGATATTCAACTAGTGATTTTAACAGTATTTTGTGTGCAGATTACGGAAAAAATAGTAAAAAAATTCTATCACTTATAGATAATTCAAAAATTTCATCTGAAATTTTTTTGATTAATCGGTTTTTAGGTTCGCTATGGGTTCGATGTTTCTGTATGATGTAGCCTATATAAGCGGTAAATTGAGTCTGAATTATGGAGTGATGACAGCTACGGTCCAGGTACCAATGACTCTGAACTTTTCTCTCAATCAGACTTGAACGATTTATTACGAGATCTGGGCCTCCCAAAGGACTCAGCAGAAGTTTTAGGGTCTAGACCTAAAGAAAGACGTATGTTAGCCTCCGGTGTTTCATTTTCATGGTACCGATTTAGAGAAAGGGTCCCTGATTATACACAAGAGGGTGACCTAGTTTTCTATAACAATGTACCCGGCGTCATGGAAATGTTCAATATAACGTATGAACCAGAGAAAGGAGACTTTTCATCGATTCATCAAAGAAAAGTTTGAAAGCTGTACTCCTTCACAATGGGAACCAATATGCTTCTGTGCCTATTGGACACTCAGTCCATTTGAAATAATGCTACGAAAATCTTAAATTTGTTCCTAATAAGCTCAGCTACTCTGATCATATGTGGACCATTTGTGGAGACTTGAAACTTATTTCAATGTTAGTAGGTCAACAAAGTGGTTACACTAAGTTTCCATATTTCCTATGTGAATGGGATAGCCGTGACAGGAAACAACACTATGTCAAACAGGTGTGGCCAATAAAAAAGGGTCTTATTCCTGGAGTTAAAAATGTTGAAAAACGAAGTTTAGTGGATCCTAAAAAAATCTTACTTCCACCACTCCATATCAAATTGGGGCTAATGAAACAGTTTGTGTTGGGCCTGGCATAAGAAAACGTTTGAAAGATGAAAGCTTTGTCACTGAAATGAAAACAAAAATTCCTGGAATTCATTCAAACTTGTTATAACAGGCTTTCTTGGAAACAAAAAAGATCCAAACTACAAAACTTTAGTTGCTGAATTGATACAAAACTACAAAATGTTGGCTGCAACATGAGTGTCAAAGTTCATTTCCTTCACTCACATCTGGACTACTTTCCCGAAAATCTAGGAGCTGTAAGTGGGGAACAAGGAGAACGGTTCCATCAAGACATAAAAGAAATGGAACGCAGATACTAAGGTCGGTGGAATTATAACATGATGGCAGACTAATGTTAGATGTTAAAAAGGAAAAATTCACAAGAACACAGCCGAAAAAGTACCAAAAGATTTGACGGAAAAGCAAAACGTTTTTACAAAGACTTATAATCACTTTGCAAACACGTGTATCACTGTTATTCTTAGTTTAGCTATGTAGCATTGTTTTTTTTGCTTTTACTTCATGTTAAAATAATAAAAATAAATCCACAATTCCCCGTTTTTTTTGTACTTTTTCAATTATTTCATCCTTATTTTGTAGGAAAATCTTACGTAATAGATAAAAACAAATGTCCTTTTTGAAATCAGATCAAAAAACTACACAAAGATCAATTAACGAAATCAAAACAATTTTTTCAAATAGTTTGTGTAAAAAAAAAATTTATATTTTTTATAAAATCTTGAAATGTGACACTCGTATAAAAACATGTTTACGCAGGAAATACTAAATTCAAAACCATGTCTGGAAATAGCTGGTTGGAGCTCTGCATATGCATTTAATGAGATAGAATTTTTAATTCATGTACTACCTGATTACACAAACTTCAAAGCCTTCAATCGATATACAAGTGTCTCCATGCAAAAGGAAGAGAGAAAGAGAGAGAAATACGTTTATAACAAGTTCCTGTTGACAAATTATTTTTTGACTATGTTGAAAACTATATTAAAGTAATCACTTAAAACGTATTTATATTGAAGTTGTGAAATGTACAATCTCTTCGTCTAAGGCGAATACCTGGTACGCTGAAATTGATAGAGACAAGTAAATAATGGAGAAAAATGTTTCGTAATAAGTTGAGAATGAATAATACTTGAAAATCATCTTTAGGTTTTTTTAAGGGCTTTTTTAAATCAAAATCGTTCAATTTTCGTTTGTATGATATATGTCGTTTCTGCACTTTTTCTAGTCTAGTGAATCAGCATTCGTCAATGTTTGGGAGCGACCATATGACACAAGCATACTCCAGTTTGAAAAGAATGTAAGTATTAAAAAATACTTTATAAGTACCTATTATAAGTAAAGTCATAGCAAGTTCTGAGGTTTAACCCGAGTTTTCTGAAACATTCTGCTTATAATCTTTCAATATGTGTACTGAAGTTGAAGTTTGAAGTAAAAACTACACCTAGATCTTCAATTTTATTGACCCTTTTGATAGAAATATTGTCAATATCGTATGTTTACTTGAAGGGGTTTCTTTTCTCAGTAAAGTTTATCATTTCAGACTTGGATACATTGAAATTATTTTGTTCTGTCTGTAGCTCACTGGAGTTTTTTGAACCTTAAATGTTGATTTTTTCTTACAGTAACTTCCTGTAATTCTTTGTTTACATATTTGGGAATTTTATTTTCCCAGTTCAGACTTTCTATTTGGATTTGATGCAATGCAAGTCTATTTCATTTTCATTCATCTCGTTTTCTAAGAACTCCAGAAATTTAACAACACTTTTTTCGTCTCTCTATTGCAGCACAACTTGGGTGAAAATGCACCTCACATCCATTGCACTACATTTTATTTTCAACAACACCTTTTTCACAATAAAAGCACTCGAGATTGACGGAAGGATTTGACCTTCCGCCATGTTGAATATTTCGAATTTTGTGCATACATATTAACGTTTAATTTGAATAATTTTGAAAAATTAGTTTAAAGTACCTACTTTAGCATGTCGCTGAAGATCACTGGGAACAATGTGTTCATCATGTGATTAACTAAAAGAAAATTAGGGAAATGGGCCACATTATTGATGAAACCAATAATAATTGGGTTAAACAAATTCTTTTTTTTTTAACTACAACAGAACGTTTTACATATTTTGTTACGTGATTTACTGTTATATTTTATGTATACAGTAGAATCTCACTAATTCCGCACTTCAATAGACTGATACGTCCAATATTCCGACACGTGAGTACGTATTTACTTGTTGTTTTGAAGTGATAATAGTGTGTAGTTAAAAATGTTATTATGGTTTTTTCTCTATAATCCAGTAATCCGAACATTCAAATAATCCAGTACCTTCTGGTTTTGAATAGTGCCGTATTAATGAAATTCTATTGTATTTTTTCATGTTCAAATATGAAGGCTATATTTTTTAACATTGTATATTTTATATTTCAAAATTTAAAAGCTACTTTTCCATTGATGTTATTCAGAAATATTTGACACAAACCTGTTTAATATTAACTGTAATGGTGACACAGTTCACTAGAAAGAGCTGAGATTACTTTAACAAAGTAAGTCAATTATCAGCTTAAATGCTGTTTTGGTGTGATCAGACGCTCAGTGCCGGGAAATAAATAATCTGACAGGGAACTGTGAGGAATTACCGATACTAGAAATACTCATTTCCTACTTGTAGACACAAAAAAGCATTTGCAAATGTTTGAAAGTTCATTTAGAATAGAGATTTTCGAAAAAAATCTCACGTTTTTTCATGAAATGCAAATCGTTTCTAATTCATATCTAAAATCGGTTCAGCCTTAACATTTATATATTCTGGTTGATTTAGTACTATTTCATCGTCCTCATCTTTAACAACCCGAGAACCAATAGCC